AGTCCTAGAGGTCAAGTTAATTTATGTCATTCATTGAGGTTGCTATCCTCGTTAACATAGTCACATTGTAATCAAATGCCTAAGTTAAGGTAGCCAAGACTAAACCCAACTTTTGACTATTCACTTAATAGCCTTATATATAAATGAGACTGCCTTAGAGAAATCAAAATGACCTTATAACCAATATAACCAACACACCTAATTCAAATACTAATATGGTTAACGCAAACTGAGGCTAAACCTTATCGTAGATCAATTAATAAAGCTTGACCCTAGAAGTTCATCCAATGTTTTTCGACTAAAAATAATATGTTTCACAGAGCTATTAGGATAGTATGAATTCAACCTAGATCCTAGCTTTAGACCAATTGCCAACCTGAGTATAACCTAATTTGAACCTTAAATCATTTTACATTGAGATAATCAATCAATTGGGAGACATTCGCTCACTTCTAAATCCGACAATTCAATCATTCTCAAATTAATCAATATTAATTTTCACTAATTATATGAATTTTAATAAAACTGCTTAATATTTGTAAAAAATTATTTAATTAGACCAAAGATAAAATAAAATATGTTTAATTATTGAAAATTATTAAAAATAATAAAACCTTAATTTAGGTTATTTCATCTAAAAATAAACTAGTGAAAAATGTTAAATAAAAAAAAAATCATCATATCAAATTAACCTAGAAAAGACAATTTCAAATGAATAATCGAACCCATAGGATTCAATAATAACAATTAAGTTCAGCTATTCCAATAGATAAAATGCGCTCTTTTAATTATTTAAATAATTAAAGAATATAAAATTAAGAAATATGTTTGAAAATTATTTAAAACACAAACTTCAAATTTATTACTTTAACATAATAAAAATCATTAAATTTGTATAAATTTGAATTTCATAAAATTATAAAATCATTTACTTTAGATAAATGGAATATATTTTTTAAAATTTTAAATTACTTATAAACGAATACACACACAGGCAAGAGTTTTTTTTTTGGTCAATCAAATGGTCAACTTTATAAGTTGAACTAAATTTGTTCATGTTGCACCAAGGTTAACATAATTATCCTATGTTCATAACATTCACATAAGCTTCTCATAAGATTGGAAATCAAATTAGGATCATGCATTTGACATAGAATCCACAGATATATCTACTCATCTACATAGGTTAGTTAAGACTTAGCTTATATGTGTCGAGAATTATAGTATACATCTAAGCACAATGCATTGATCAAATTATTAGTTTTACTCGTAAATTAGTATATTTATTTGTATTGTATTGCATTCACCATATCTAAGGTAATCATTTTACTGGATTGGGGATATCAAGCTTCTATGACAAGCATTCTTACTCCTTAAAATCAGACTAAATGATCATTATGATTTTCTTTACATTTCATAATTTGGCAAGCAATTCCTTATTATTCATCCATACATAGCATTTGAGAAATGTAAGCCACACCCACATTTTTTAAAAAAACATTATATCTAAACTAAGCATTTTATATATCCATATTTATCTAGTTGAACCATGTTCATTAGGAATAGTACTACCCTAAGCAAATCATATTTTCTAAAGAAAAAATCACATATAATGTTTAAGCATGCCAAGCTTGATTAAATAAAATTACTCTCTATGTTAGAGTGTAAAATTTTGACCTTAATGCTTTCATGCTAAAAAATACCCACATTCATCTTTGTACAAGAGGGGCCATATCTATTTGAATTAACAATATATTCCCTTCGTAGGTCAAAATCCACCAAAGACCCATTATGAGCAAATCATGCTTGCCCAGGCAATCTTATACTCATTTATACTCTCACTATTTAAACATTTAGACCTTTGCCAAACACTAAAGAAGCTAATAAACTATTTCTGTATGCTCAAATGTAGCTGAATGATTGATTATTTCTATCATCTGTCATTCTATCATTATATCGAGATGCCTTTGCATTCATTAAATATCAGCCAAACATTCAGCTAGTTAAGTGGATCAAGCTCGAATTGAAGATTAACTTATGGTCAATTACCATCGACCATAATTCATAGCGATGATTATTGATATTGCCATAACTAGTGCTTATATAAATGTTTCCAAAATTCAAATAGCCTAAGCATTTCATCTTGATTTAATTTGAAATATTGAAAAAATTAAGCTATATGTTTAGTCAATTTATTTTCCTTAATATAAAAAATTATTTATAAAAATATGTAGATTTATTTATGTGATCTTTTAGAACCCATTTCAAAGAATTATAGTATATTTTTTTCAAAAAAATTATTTCTCATTAAGTTATGATAATACTTAATAAATTAAGGTGGAATGACCTTAGTTTATTAAGATTCTTGAGATAAGATTAGCCATAACAATCTTGCACAATCATATGTGATAGCACCACATAAGCCTATGATTGCATAAGCCAATGCAAGAATTTAGAGCTGTGATAAGTACAACCTCAAATAATTTTTAGTCTAGGGTAGGGTGTTATTTATTTATTTATTTTTTCTAATCTTCTCATGATGTTCTCTATTTGGTTGACATTTCATTGAATCATGCACATTAGAATTAAAATCCTTTTTTTTGTATGTGTTATTAATGCAATGCTCTTCAAGGCATTGCAAGCTATTTAGTGCATAAATTAGGTTAGGAAAATAGTATTTAGAGAAAAAATGTGTCTGCTCGTAATGCCACTTTTATACTTTTTCTTTAATTTATATGCTTTTTAGATAAGGAAAGCGATGTGAATAAATTAAGTTGTAATTATCAACTTAACGCATACCTTCAAAATCATGAATAAAAAAGTTAAAAGACATATGGTAGAAATGTCTATGATTTGAACTTCCAATTTTATATCCATCTTCTTTATTCAAACTAAGAACAAACCAACTTCTTATTATCTATCTTTTATGAGGTGTATTTGCAAAACCCACCAACATCCAAACTTTCCATTACTTGCAACTTGTAAAATATTTATCTAAATATTTGCTTAAAATTGAGTGATTTATTTTCATTAATGATATGGGTGTTCCTTGATATGATTCTATTTATCTAAATATTTGCTTAAAATTGAGTGATTTATTTTCATTAATGATATGGGTGTTCCTTGATTTTATTTTAAAATTTTCCCTTGATATTAGAATTAAAATTAATCAAAGTTAAAACAAAAGCAAAATTTCTTAATTGAAAGTTTATCTAAATAATAAAAAAATTAGCTACAGGAGTATGCTCCTCTAAGAATCCTCAACCAAAAAACAAAAAATAAAGAATCATGTTCGCATCATAAAATTCAGGCAAAGGAAATCTTTTTGAAATACATTTTTTTTTTGATATGCATTAATTTCTTTAACTTTTATCATGACACTTATAAAATAGCTTTCAAAATCTAAAAAAAAAAAAAAAAACTTCCGCTGGGATACTTCACTTTTTACTTCACTTTTTCAATGAAGCAAATATGTCGTAAAGGTCGCTAATATATAAAGTTCAAGTTTAATTTTTCATCGACATAAAATTTAATGTTCTAATATTTAAAGGTTGTTTATGATAGACTAATAAGCACCCTCGACGTTCTTCACAAATGGTATGAGTTGGTTGTAACAATAAAGATTGCCTTATCATGATCAATAAATTGCATCCCAATTCGATGATTGCATGAAAAAAAAAAATCAAGAAAGCTTGTTACTAGGAAGTTAATCGTAGATTCAGCTAAAGAGTCAATCCATAAAACAACAACAATAACAACAACAACAAAGCCTTAATCCCACTACGTGGGGTCGGCTACATGAATCCAAAATAGTGAAGTTCATGAACATTCTTCACTTCATACTAGCCTATTAAACCAAAAGAAAGTTTAAATTATAGTCCAAGTCTTAGACTTTTCAAATGAAGGAGACCTCCAACACTTTTTGAAGCTCTCAGTAAGTGGGCTCTACCGAAGTCATAATAACATAGTGAATTCTCTATTTACTTAGCATGAACATGTTTTAATTTTCTGGTGTAATTTCTAGCGACGTTTTTCATATACCCATACTCGTTAATGATTCCCTATATATATGTAAAACTAAAAATCAATATAATAATCTACATTGTATAATTACACAAAGAATGTATAGGTTAAAACTACAACTAGCTATACATCTAAGGATTTCATCATTAAGTTAGCTTCTAATCATGGCTTGGGAACTACCATCAAGTTTTGAATTGAGGATAAGAATCCTTGTCGAGCATTTCTGAAGCGATTACCTCATTAGTTGGTAAGCATTATGGGCAACTCGATGGTTCTTTCGGGCAAAAGACCTTGCTTTATATCGTGGCTCGACTTAAAGTTGACAATTGAACCACATTTTATAATTGTAATTTTATGCTCCTAGTTGTAGGCAGTTCTAAGTGGTTCCCAAACAATGACTTCTAATTGGATTTTGATTATTGAGCCACATTTTATAATTGTAATTTTAAGCGACTCGGGGCTTTGATAGCTTTACAATTTATAAGCTCCTAGTTGTAGGCAGTTCTAAATGGTTCCCAAACAATGACTTCTAATTGGATTTTGATTCTAACAAACACTTGATAAATTCAAACTAAGGATGTATACTAAATCATACTTGCAGCCAAACGAAAAGTTTTTCCATAAAGAGCCAGTACACAGAGCTGCATACGGTCTCCAATTAGAATAAGCTTCCAAGCGAAAATGTGCATGTCAGTGGGTCCTATTTAAAAAAAAATTATAAATTTATTAAATTAAATCTTGATTATGTGGCTTAATCTAATTGGAGCCCTTAATTACCATACAGAGCTGCATACGGTCTCCAATTAGAATAAGCCCCCAAGAGAAAATGTGTATGTCTATTTTAAAAAATTATAAATTTATTAAATTAAATCTTGCTTATGTGGCTTAATCTAATTGGAGCCCTTAATTACCACAAAACTAACCACATTTGAAAAGAAATATAGCACACAGCAGTCATTTAATAATACTGTCCATACCTGTCTAAGCATCTGGTTCTCATTTTGAACCGTGGATAGCCTCTCCTCCAACTCCATGTTCTTCCTCTCCAATTCCTTCACCTTCTCTTCCAAATCGCTTAAATACGCCTTCTTCCTCTCCCTCGCCTGCTGCGCCGATACCCTATTTCTCAGCAACCTTTCCCCCTCCATCCCCAAATAAAAAGGTAAAACATCACAAACATGAAAATAAATGACCACAACCACAAGCAAGCAGGCGGGCTCACCTCTTCAACCTCCTGTGCTCCTTTTCCGCCGGACTCCTTCCCCTCTTCCTCTGACTAGCCACCGACGGACCGGCGGGGGGGGCGCCTCCGCAGGCGCGCGCGGCGGCCAGACAGTCCCGTCTGCTCGCCGGCCACAAAGTCCGGCACTCTCCTGATTTCCTCGTCGCTCTCCATCCCTGCCATCTCCAAGCATAGCAATATTAGATTCAGTACAGGAAACGGAGGATGGAGTAAATTTGCAAAACAAAATTTCAATTTGGCACCATTTCTGGTAATAAAAATCTCTGAAAAGTAAAAAAAAATCCTTGCTTGCCTTCTTTGATTTCCACGCGCAAGCCAGAGCTGGATGATCTGGAGCTCGTTTCTTGCTCCTGCTGCATCCTCGAAGTGAAGAAGACGAAGTAAAGCGGAAGCTTTTCTCGTACTTCGTTGTATATTTTGCTCAATTTGCCTTTCCTCTTTGGGAAACAGTTTGCGGGGAAGCAAGTTCAGTCTTATGAAGGCGAGGTTTTGGGGGGGGCTTAGAGAGTGAATATTGACCGTTGGAGTGGAAAAAAATGGATGGTGGATACAGCGTTATCGTGGCAGAAGGAGGTGCCATACGTGAGAAGGGAGATCCAATGGACAGGAGATGGGAAGCGTGGATGTTTTAGGCACCGTTAGATCCGCATCCCGTTGTTTCGCTGATGGGTGGATTGTCGTTTTCGGATGTAGCGGGAAAGATCCGAGATGTCTAACTTAATTCTGTTGTACTCTGGATCAACCTCGGACAAATGGAAAGCGCCTTATGTACGGATTACTATTTGCTAATTAAAAAAATGTAAATTGGAAAAAAATTATATAAACTATATATATATATATATATATAAATTTATTAAATTTATTTTGAGAACAATGTAATTGAGTTTTAAGATGTGTTTGAATTAATGGATGGGTGGTGAATAGAAAGATGTATTGATTAATTGATTAATTTATTATTTAGTTAGCATTTTTTATGAGAAAAAATAGTTTGGAAAAATGGGAATGATTCTAAAAGAAGAAGGGAAAATAAATAGCTTTGAAAGTGTGTGATTATGATGAAGATGATGAGTCTCGAAATACAGATGAGATTAAAGAACAAAAAAATCTAATTTTTTAGTTCATTAATGGGTGAAATCATGATTGAAGAAATTATTGAGAAAAATGTAATGATTTTACTAAAAGATAACGATTATTATTATTATTATTATTATTATTATTACGAAAAGACAACTTAGTAGTATTTAAAAATGGTCTCCTGACAAAGGTTTGTGGAGAGTCACATCATGAAAAGACAGCTCAGTAGTTAAAGCAGCATGTTAGTAAAGCAGATTTAAAAGCCTACTGTACTAGAAGTTACGAGACAGAAATGAGAAGCCCGATTATACATGACAAAAGATGTTCAACTATCATCTTCAATGCTTTGAGAACCCGAACCAAGCATGTGAAAGAGTGGATTCAACTCACCAACAAAACCCACGAATTGAAACATCACCCTAGACACGGGTCTCCTCGGAAGCAATAATTAGACAGAGCAAGCTGAACATGGTGAAGATGACCTTAGTTGACCAATCATCAATCTAATGACTCCCTTTTAGGGCGAGCAATCTAAAGACTCCCTTCCAGGACGAACAATCTAAAAACTCCCCTTCGAGATAAACAGTCTAAAAACTCTTCCTGTAATACAAACGACCATAAGATCACTTTTTATAAGGAAAACAAACCTCAACAAAAAGAAAACACAATGCACAAATGAATTGCAGGCATAAAACAAAGTCAACCAAAGTTTTCTTTTGATTTTTGTTACAAAGATTCCCACTTCACAAAAAATTCAAAAAGAGAGAGAAAGAGGCTATAAGTTTGAGAAGTTGAAAAAGATAGCTTCCCGACCTCCGACAAGTTTTTTATCAGATGGGGAAGGGGTGGTTAGCAGCTTGGTGAACTCATTAAATCCGCATACTTCTAATCAATCATCCTCGTTCGGACAAAAAAATTGATAGAAAACTCTGAATCGAGCCAAAACCGACCTCCCGCTCCTCCACGTGTTCTTCAGTTGTAACCAACTAAGCGATATTGGCAGAAAATTCATCGATTTTCTTTTGCAGGACTAAGAGCCATTATGACACCCCTGCTTCTTCCTCAAGACAAGCTTCAGCCTCAACTGCCCGCCACAAAGCCTTCTTTGAACAACCCTTCATCATTCCGACCATCTTCTTCACCTTCTCCATCTTCACCGGGGTGTCGAGATACGAGCTGGATAAATAATGAGATGACATTGCCTCTAGAAACTTTTGGACCAGAGAGTTACTGAGAGCTCTAAAGTGTGATACTCCACTCTCGGGCCGCACCAAAACGAGTCTCGCTGAAGATTAATGAGAGCAAGTCGAGAATCCCTAGTAATAAAAACTTTTAACTTTTCTTCCTACATTGGGACCCACTCTTCACTACTGCCGTGAGGAGGAACAAAGGATGAACCTTCATCGCCCATAAGCTTCTTTCCCTTCCTTCGTCAAGGTCTCTCAGAGGTAGAGGAACTATTATTTAGCTCGATGATCCTTGGGCCTAACTTTCGATACGCCTAGACCTGCACTTTGAATGACCCCTGGCTCCACTTACCACAGGTTTAGGAGATGGCTGATCAGCTCTCCCCAGCTTGGTGAAATCAATAAGGCCTGATGGATCAGACCGAAGATCTCCCTGAACCTCTGGCCATTCGTCATTTGGAGTAAGCTCAGTATCAGGCTACAAACCAGATGGTGTTTTGACCTCGTCGCCTCCTGTATCACCTGTGGGAATGGTAGGCTTTCTTTCAGTCAATGTTAACTCACTAGTCAAAATTGACTATATTACGATGGTTTTTTAGAAATAGAAATGAAAAAGTCTGAACCTGGAATCCTCTTTGACGATGCTTTCTCACTCTATGAGGGTTTCTTCATCTTCGGTTCCCTAGTAGAAGCCTTAGCCATCTTGTCAACCCATCTGCCAACCTCCTTGGTATCTGAGACAGTCCATAACTCCCGAGTCATTCAGTCGTACATACGTGGGTTCAAAACCTTATTCACTATGTGCTGACTAGTATATTGAATGACAAATAGATTTTTTCCTTCAACGGATGACGCCAAGCCTCGCATCTGGGGTGGAATCTTCTCACTTTTATAAGGTCCTCTAGACGACTGAATTGGAAAACCCCAATCTCTCGCCGACACCAAGAGGAAGTTACAGTTCCAATTCTTCACTTTATTTTCCAAGTCAATCAACCTGATCATTCTAGTTGAAGTAAAATTCAAATACTTGTATGGATCAACTCTGAAAGAAAATACATGGTAAAATAGTTCGCTCGACCAAGGGATGACCATTCAGCGACAATAAATGACAGTTATTCATAAATAAAATAGGCATTCACTGCTGCAATGCAGTTTGCCTTAAGCTGGGCCATGATAACTTCATAACTGTTCAAGATGGCTCAAAGCTCGTGGCACAAAGGAAGACGAAGCCCCTGAGTGAATTGATTACAGTATAGTACAAGCCGCCCCTCATAATCACAGTCTTCTGGTCGTTCAAACCTAGAACCTCCAACACTATACCGTCCTCAAAAATAGGTCATTCCTGGAGACTTGAAACCTCATATGAGGACAACACATAACACTATGAAGTGCACACTTTTCTGAACTCTTGGGGCGAATATTTGGAAGCCATAAAGAGAGGCTTGAGGAAGTGATGAGAATAAATGGGCGTCCAAAGGGAATGGTAGAGAAAAGTAAACTTATAGAAGGACCACATCCTAGGGAACATTAATCTCATGCCACGTCACACAAAAGAAGTTGAAAAAATCAATCAGGATATTCACATTAAAAGGCACACAGACTAAGAAGCAAAACATAATTCATTCAGATAAAAAGAACATTACAACCGGCTCATTGGCCACTTGAGGCAAAACTAACCCACGCCTCAACTACTCTTTGTACAGGATCCGACCACCTAGATTAAATCTCTCGAGACTAGCAGCTTCAAGTTGAAACCTAGAAACCAAACATGCCTCTCGAACATCTGATAGGTTTGCATGCAAGAACACGATTTCCATCCAAAGAATCCCGGTTTTGGTCTGGTGATCCTTCGCATCAACCTTAAGCTTAAGAACCTCTGTCAATAGATTCTCAGAAAGAGTATTCAGTCGCACTTTCAGCTCATTTATGCTGACTTCTCGCTGAGCCTCATCGTCTTTTCAAGCTTTAGCTTCGCGAGCAAAGAAGTTCATCGTCTCATCCTTGTGTGAACCATAGAATCAGTCGACTCCCTCTCAGCCGCCGCCGACTGATCCCCTGAAGTTTTTTGAGAAGGCAGCACCTGACCCTCAACAACCTCAGACGAGGAACATATAGGGACCGCATCAGCTGCACAAGAAAGGAAGAGTCAAAAGGTTAAAAAACACCATCTCTATGAATAAATCAACATTGGACTCCTACCAAGGAGTTGATCCATCTCAGACCAGGGGAAAGATGAGGAAATCTCACCAGACATGGGTAGAACAGCCACAACTCCCTCGTTCTCGGGCAACATACCCTTGGGAGCCCGTTGAGCCTCCTACTCCATTCGTCCACTAGAAACAGCTGATCCCCACCAGAAGTAGCAACCTAGCCCTTGGCGGACTTCCGACGTGACAATGGAACGTCATCCGATGAATCACCCCCTTCATCACTGCCACGCCCCACCGATGCTCCCTTTCTGAAAACTAACTTCTTCACTCTCCTCCTCTTAGCAGGTTGGCCCTCTTATGGGTATTTTCCTTGCTCATTGGTCGAACCACCCTCGTGATGATGGTTCTAAATGGACACTTTGAAGGAAGGAGCTTCTCCATTAGTAATCCAAAAATCTTCATCAGATTATCATCTGATGGTTACCCGGGATTATTGCTTTTCTTACTACTCGCCATCGAAATACTTTCTGTAAAGAGTGATCAAAGCTTTGAACCCAAGAGACATGTGGGAACCCAGTTGCAAATATCAACCTATTTATAGGATGGTGGAGAATGAAAATCCAGAAAGTCTAATTATTAAATGAAGATTTCAGAAGTTAAAGTTACATATAATGTGATATTTAACATTATTGTTTTAATCATACCAGTCACTTTAAAAAAATAATAAATTTGGGGAGCTAGAGATGTACGAACAAATTGTGGCAGTATGAATTTTTATGGAAAGTCAATGAACTAGAGCAAACGAAGTAGGAACTCTGATCAAGATGCGAAGAAACAGATCAACAAGCTAAGATGGTACTCGAGATGATCGATTTAGGAGATCGTCATGGATGCTCTGCCAGGTTGCCCACCTAATTAGCGAGCCGAATAACATGAAGACCGATCGAGGGACTTTCAAAGAAAAGGCCAAACAATGGATGTTTGGCCATTTGACAAATTAGGTAGACGAGCTAGAAACTAAAAAGGAGGCCATCAGAATATTTTACCAACTTTCACACCATCTTTGCTTGAT